GGAGATGTTGGAGATGGTGGAGGGGATGGTGGTGGTGGTGGAGATGGTGGAGGGGATGAAGGTGGTGGTGGAGATGTTGGAGATAGTGGAGGGGATGATGGTGGTGGTGAAGATGTTGGAGATAGTGGAGGGGATGATGGTGGTGGTGGAGATGGTGGAGATAGTGGAGGGGATGATGGTGGTGGTGGAGATGGTGGAGGGGATGGTGGTGGTGGTGGAGATGGTGGAGGGGATGATGGTGGTGGTGGAGATGGTGGAGGGGATGATGGTGGTGGTGAAGATGTTGGAGGGGATGGTGGTGGTGGTGGAGATGGTGGAGGGGATGATGGTGGTGGTGGCGATGGTGGAGGGGATGGTGGTGGTGGTGGAGATGGTGGAGGGGATGATGGTGGTGGTGAAGATGTTGGAGATGGTGGAGGGGATGATGGTGGTGGTGGGGGGATGGAGGGGATGATGGTGGTGGTGGAGATGGTGGAGGGGATGATGGTGGTGGGGGAAATGGTGGAGGGATGATGGTGGTGGAGGAGGGGATGGAGGGGATGATGGTGGTGGTGGGGATGGTGGAGGGGATGATGGTGGTGGTGGGGATGGTGGAGGGGATGATGGTGGTGGGGGAGATGGTGGATGGGATGATGGTGGTAGGGGAGATGGTGGAGGGGATGATGGTGGTGGTGGAGATGGTGGAGGGGATGATGGTGGTGGGGGAAATGGTGGAGGGATGATGGTGGTGGGGGAGATGGTGGAGGAGATGGTGGAGGGGATGATGGTAGTGGGGGAGATGGTGGAGGGGATGATGGTGGTGGAGGGGATGATGGTGGTGGGGGAGATGGTGGAGGGGATGATGGTGGTGGAGGGGATGATGGTGGTGGAGGGGATGATGGTGGTGGAGGGGATGATGGTGGTGGGGGAGATGGTGGAGGGGATGATGGTGGTGGGGGAGATGGTGGAGGGGATGATGGTGGTGGTGGAGATGGTGGAGGGGATGATGGTGGTGGTGGAGATGGTGGAGGGGATGAGGGTGGTGGGGATGGTGGAGGGGATGATGGTAATGGTGGAGATGGTGGAGGGGATGATGGTGTTGGTGGAGATGGTGTTGGAGAGGGATAGTGGAGGGAAAGGTGGGGGTTGGTGGTGGAGGGGATGATGTGGAGGGTTGATGGTGGAGGGGATGATGGTCGAAGGGATGATGGGGAGGGGATGATGTGGACAGGGTGGCGGTGGAGGATGATGGTGGAGGGGGATGGTGGAGTGGATGATGGTGGAGGGGATTATGTGGGCGGGGATGGTGGTGAACTTGTGGTGGAGTAGATGATGGTAGGTTATTTTAAGAAAGCCTTCGATTTTGTGAACAGCCAAAAGTTATTGTATTTACTTAAAAGCTTATAATCAAGGATTGTCATGGGAAAATTGTTAATGTTCTCCAAAGTTTGTATAATGTCTGACAAGGGTAAAACAAACTGTTTTTCAACGTCCAGTGGTTTAAGACAGGGATGTATTTTGAGTCCCGTTTTGTTAAAAAAAAATTATCAATGAACTTGTTATTGAAACACACGAACAATATATCTATGGTATATTTGTGCATCTTGATAATGATAATATTATGATGCTGGTGATAAACAGTAAAGCAAAATGCACGTGAAAGTTATGGCATTCGGAACTCGTGGTAGTTGCTATAAAAAGGCAAGCACGAACCAATAATTTGTCATTCAATTGTCACAGCTACGGAGACTTCAGGACGCATCCCTGGTTTGAGGAGGATATCAGACAAGACTGTCAGGAACCAATTTCGCGAGGCTGGAATCCGACCCAGAAGACCAGTTATCGTCCATGTTTTTCAACAGATCAATCGACAGCGACGCTTGCGTTGGTGCCATACCTTACAGCCTTGGAATTCGAGAATCTGGAGACAAGTGTGGTTTAGCGATGAATCACGATTTCTTCTTCACTGGCGAGATGGAAGACAACGTCTTCTTCCAATCATTGACCCCCAGCTGTTTCAAAAGGACAACGGTCCGGCGCACACAGCTCGTCACGGTAGACTACCTTCATAATGCCAATATCAATGACTTGCCCTGGCCATCGGGATCTCCAGATCTCAACCCAATCGAACACCTCTGGGATGAACTCGATCGACGTGTACGTCAACGTCAGAACACGCCACAGACACTCCCACAACTGGCCAACGCGTTACAAGCAGAATGGGGCAGAATTCCGCAGGCTGGAAGACGTACACTTATCCAGTCAGTGCGGTCACACGAGATACTGAGTTCAGCGCCACCTTGTGGCCTTATGTGGCATGACAAGGAACAGTTCTTAAAGCCTTTGTTCAACGACAACAAGTGACTATCGAGCACCAAAATTTCATATTTGTATCTTCGCTATTCAATTAAATATATCGACTTTATTAGGTACAATAAATTTACTAAAAATCTACCTGTGCGTTTCTTTTTTAGAGAGTGTATGTTGTGTATAGCCAAGTGAGAGTAGTTAAATACTGGATAAATTCACTAAGAATGGAAGTATGCACATATACTATTCACTGTAAATAATTGTTAGATGATAAAGGTAAAGATAACTGGGTATCTGAGGTAAATAATCTATTATTTACATGTGGTTTTTCTCTTGTGTAACATTCAAGTGGTTATGGGAAGCAGCGAGTGAAAGATATATTTGCACAAAACTGGTACAAAACTGTTTCATCTTCGCATTATCTTAGCAAATATAGTAATAAAGTCACATCTATAACCGGAAACGTATTTATCTGTTTTACCAGACAAGTCATTAAGATCTTTTTGTAAATTTAGAATCTCATTACATAATTTCAATGTAAATATGTGTCGTAGGTCGAAAGATATTGATGCTGTTTATAGTGTTTGTACCAATTGTGACAGGTGAATATGAATTCCCGGTCTCATTTAAGTGTAACAAGTATTCCAAGTTAAGATCAACATATCTTCCTTTCTTGAATAATGTTATCAACTCACAAGATAAACATGTTATCTTTTCAGTGGCTACTTATATAAAGCATGTTTTACTGTCAGATTCAAGAAGATGTCATTCCTGTACATGCAAGTGACATCATATTATGAGTTAGTGTCAATTGTACTTTATACTTTATATCAATTGTAAATAGCCATAATACTGAATAAACCTCTCTGTCTGTGGGGTTGATGTTGGGTGGGGGGGGGGGGAGGATAGTAGTGGCGACGTCTCGTCAATCTTACTGACATTCTTGCTTGTTAGACAAGAACTTAGAATGTATGAAATATATATCGGGTAACGCCGGGGGCAGTTTATTTATATTTATCTCCAGGTAACCTTAGTAAAGCCGTTTCGGTTATTTTCGGTTTTCAGTGTCGAAGTAATTTAATAATAGAAAAACAATATACTGCTCGAAGTTTGATAAGGATCAAGTTTTGATGTTATCAAAAAATCATCCAGCAAATACATATTAAAATATTCCGGTACCCAATGATTGGGTAATCCCTTGAGGACCCTAATTTCATTATGAACGGACCGAGGCATGCAGTCATGGGCATGATGTGCACGAGGTGAGTGAAAACCTGTGTATGGATGTATCGTGACAGAATCGTTGCATATCATTATCAGAGAGCACAATAACATTTGCTACTGAGGATTGCAACAACTGAATGCACTTATTTCCCCTCAGCGTCAAAGACGTCATTTAACGATCGAAGAATGAGGAAGATGCATAGGCATGCTTTGGAAATGGATCAACAGAAGATCACGTTGCAAACGTCTTTGATGTCAGCCAAAGTATGACCAGTAGGGCATGGAATACATACCAAACGTTTGGATCAGTTACCCAGTCACATTCAGGTAGTCGACAGCGATCCACCACGCGGGGGATGACACGTTTTTCCTGATTGCGGCAAGACGTCACCACATTGTGACTGCCATCATACTCAGAAATGACCTGCGGAACGCCATTGGCGTTAACGTGTCTACTAAGACAGTGCTTGTCTCCGGTGCCAGAGTGTATACATTCGCATTCCATAAAGATGGTGTAAAGAATTCATAGGTTTAAAGGTCGACCCTACAAAGTTTGTGTGTGATAACTGTGAATTGGTGTATACATATGCAGGTGTGAAGGTCGACACTGCAGGTTTATGAGTGATAACTGTATAGAGGTGTGGATACGGGTTTGTACGTCCCCTGTAGGTTTATGTTTATGTTTGATTACGGCGTAAGTTTAATAGTACGTACGGGGTAGCACTGGAAGACCTTAAGTAACAAGTGATATAAATCTTCTTCACACGAAACTAGTGTTATAAATACCAGTTGAAACGTATGTGTAAACATGTAAGCCACATTCTGGTATTAATCACCGCTTGGAACGACGGCTCGACGACTACCTTTAATCCCTCGCCCTAAGAAATAATTAATTGGAGGTGCTCTTCGGACATGATATACATGTACAGTGTTTAAAGGTTTTGATTATTTGGTTGCCAGTTCTAACAATCCATCCGGTGAGTGTACTTGAATACTATGTGGTTGGAAGGCATCCATATATAATCATATAGACATTACGTAACGTTATTACTGCGGCCAGAAATATATCCTATTCATTTCATCATTTCATGTTCTTCTCTTTCAATTTCCCTGTTACATATTTATCATTCTTCCAACAAACAAAGCTTCACTCAAACATCATTTATTAGGTATATACATATATAATATATATTTGCAAAAAATCAACAACTTAAATCTACGTGAAACCACCAATCTTTGGAACGAGCAAGAACAATAAATATCTATTTACATCTCCGACGGTTTTTTGGGGACATTGTCTATAAAATATATATGGTCTGTCTTCATAAAATAAATCGTGAATTTCTAAGCACCCAATTCCAAAAACGTTTTTCCCTTGGCCTTGGATAAGATGATCCTACTTTTCAATATCTGGACTATGTGTTCATAATTGCAGATGTACATGTGAAGATAGCGGTACTTGAAAGGTATCTGATAACTAGAACATGTCAAAACAGAGAGCATTTATTTCCAAGGTACTGTACATTCACACATTTACTACGAAATAACACGAAAATGACTCTTTGCGCACAGCTTATTGTTTTCAAGGTTAGTATTGTCAATTTTAACTGTCGTAATAATAAAAGTAGGCCGAATATGACAGAGATGAGACCACGAAGCAATAGATTATTTCCCAAATTGACCAAAGCCGAATCCACCACCTCCACCTCGACCGAAGTTTCCTCCCTGACCCCCGGGCATGGGACCCCCAGGCATGGGACCCCCAGGGCCCATTCCGCCGAAACCATTACCGCCTTGAGGGCGTCCGAACTGATTGCCTTGGGGTCCGAACTGAGCGTTGCCTTGGAGACCGAATTGAGGACCTCCGGGTGGTCCGCCAAAGTTACGCTGACCGCCAAGTGGGCCACCGAAATTCCCCTGTTGTGGACCCCCAAAATTCCCCTGTTGCGGACCCCCAAAATTCCCCTGTTGCGGACCCCCAAACTGATTTGGGTTTCTGAAGGTATTGAATCCATTCATTGCACCTGCGCCGTTGTTCTGGTTAAATCCTCCTATATTTCCGCCGAACGCGTTTCCAAGGTTACCCAAGTTTCCGACGTTGCCAATATTACCTAGCATTCCCATCAGGCCATTGAAAAAGTTGTTGCTCTGAGTTACCCGCGTTGTGCTCGTGCATCTACTAGATCGACGCTCGCAGGTCATGTGACGTCCACAGTCAGCGTTCGTCCTGCAACGAGGAACACGGTGACACTCAAGTACTCTTGTGCTAAAGAAGTCGTTCTGGCCGTCGATGTTTCTCAGGGATCCCAATCTCATTGGCCTGAAGGGACCATGGGAGTTCTCGCCCCAGTCTCTTGGCCAGTCCCGTTGAATGTTGACGGTACCCCGGCTCTTCTGTTCGTCTCTGAACCACTCGTAGATACAGTCAACGAAAGTATGGTGAAACCAGAAGACGGGGTCGTATGCAGCCGTCTCAATCTGACCCATGTGGCCGCCAACGTGGACATGGACGTGGTTGTGGACTTCTTCTACGTTGGATGAGACATGGCCGTTAGGGAATGAGACTTCTCCCAGGGTTCCTTGCGACAGGATGTTCTCGATGTCGGCCATGTTCATTGGCCTTCCTCGCTGACCTGCGTTTCGGGTCAGGCGTCCAACAGGTGTCGTCCATCCTGCACCCGGGCCGGTGGTGACCGGGCCGTTACCGTTACCGAAGAGACCTTCTGTCCAAGTTGATGATTCCGCGGAGTTGTCGGGTTCAAGGGTGCTGTCCCAGAAACACATGCTGGCAGTCGGCTCGTACATTCGTAGCATCTTCTCGTACCTGAGAATAGAATAAACGACATTTTTATTGCTGCACGTCTTTGTTTATTAAAACATGGTATGGAACATATAGAATACCATATGAAAACACGAATGGGGTCTCTAGTAGTCCTTGAGGCCTCGTCTTACTAAATAATTTATTTCAAATTCATGGCAAGCTCTATTGATTTCATAAACTAGTCATATTCTTGTGTTCTATCTGTTAAGGTTTAAAGGGGACTAGGCACCGACAGTTATTGCAAACATCAATTCCCGGCCATCAAACACCAATTATTCGCATTCAAACCCTGATATGGGTACAATGTGTGAAGCCCATGTCTGGTTCCCCCCGCTGTGATATTGCTGGAATATTGCAAAGCGGCGTAAAACCATACTCACTCACTCACTCGTATTCAAACTCAAATATAATAATATTGATCTTACAATTAATGATAACCTTAATTTATACTTAAAGGAATTGTTCCACACACGCCGCTAATTACCAAGTCTAGATCTTGTCTGAAAATTGGTTAGAGACAAAGGATTTCTTTTAGATCTTTCAAAATATGAAAAATCAGCTTTCTCGCTGTAACTAGAAAGGTGGTAGCCGACACAACATAGGTTCCGGAGAACGTACACACGCTTGGTGCCTGGACACAATCAACATGTCCAAACATATATGATGACAAAGTCAGAGTTTCACCGCTACTTACAGGAACACGAAGACTCGGTGCCAGGGCAAGAATCCAGGCCCACCGTGTGCGCCGGCGTTGACTTGAGGGTGGGAGTGAAGGAAGGCGAAGCAGTCGTGGACGTTGGGGCGGAGACGCTGAAACACATGACGTCGTCGTTGTCACAAAGAATCTCCAGTATTAAAGACTAAGATTTCTCAAAAAAGAGATAATTAGTTAAATGTGTTTCCGTATCCTAAATATCATATGTTAGGAATATGAATTGTATTATACGAGCCTATGGCGAGTATAATACAATTTTTTGTATACCTTACATATGGTATTTACAATAGGGAAGCACACGAGGACAATACTCTGTTCATCATATGATGTCATTCATGTTTAAGACTAATTTAGTAAATTTGAACTCGAATACAATGTGAATACAATGTGAATACAATGTGAATAGCAGGTTTGAATGAATCGACCCATTTGTCTTATAGTGCCAAATGTTTTACAACGACGCATCTATGCATATGGCTTAACAGTAGTACCTACTGGGAGATCTGAATTGCATATTTACTGGATCGTGATATCAAGTGTATTGGGTCGATAACACTATCCGTTAAATGATATGTATGTAGACATTGACATTCAGAGGGAGACTACAGTAATTCGACAATACCCGTAACATTTTAAACATGTTTAGGAATGTACATACATATATAAAGAAAACAAAAATGTTTGAGTGAGCAATGTTAATGTACACACGTTTCTCTATTTATTTTCTTTCCTTCTGTCTTGTAATTTATTAATTGTAAATAAGCATACATGTAAATCCATAGGAGGTGGGGTTCTAAGTTGTGATAACTTGTGCCCTAACCTTTTCATGAGATTAAAATATATGTTTAAACATTTTGGTATCAATAACACATGATCTGACCTTTTACCCCAAAAGCTGTTTTAGTAGAGATTTGTATGCTACTCACTGTGTCTCTCTTGGCGCGTCTGATGGCATTAAATATGGTGTCAAGATCTGACTGGGGGATGAGGCGGCAGTCCCTCCTGACACTCCTGGCACCCACGGGCCTCCTCATCAGGTAGTTGGCGAGCGCCAACGCCTGCCTCACCCTGGGGGTTGGGAGCTGGAAGTCGGGGGCCTGGGGGTCAACTAGCACTGACAGCAACAGCGTGAAGAGCAACGTCTGTAATAGCGGCTTCATCTGGAATACAAGTAAATCGTCAACGTCCATCTCTGGCAAGTATGGAACTTTATTGTGTGCATGTCGTGTGTCATATTGTATATGTCTTATGTAATGTTGCATGTAAGTCTTATTGTATCTTTGTGTCATGTCGTATTGTATTTATGCCTTATTGTATATGTCTTAAGCCATATCGTTCTTAAGTCTCATCGTATCTATGCCTTATGTCATATTGTATCCATGTCCAATACCATATTGTATCTTTGCGTCATTCGTATTGTATATATGCCTTATCGAATACGTGTTATGCCATACTGTACTTAAGTCTTACTGTAGCCATGCATGCCTTATCTAATATTGTATACCCTATGCCATGGTGTATTCATGCCTTATTGTAATGTCCTATGCAATATAGTACTTACGTCGTATTGCATGTGTCCTATGTCGTGTGGCATCAGTGCCTTGTTGTATATGACTCATGCCATATTGTATGTGTCTGATGTCATACTGTATCTATGTCCTATGTAGTAGTTAACGTGTAACTTATAAAAACGAACATCCTTATACGAACTGTTTGTGACACCATGTCAACTGACAGAAACGTCACAGTCACGCACACATGATTAACAACGCCGATTAACTCAATGGCATTATTATAATAATGTTATTTTTCATGTTGGGGATTTCCGTTATGTTAATGAGATCCTTGAATATCGACCTGTGGAGGCCTTAATGCATTTCTTGAACATAAAAAGCTTTTCTCTAACACTATTTAGAACAGGGCGTCCTCCTGCAGACATACGTATTGAGATCATGTGCAATTATGGCGTGAGAATGGTGTCAACGACCGCGGGTGAAAAATGAATTCAACATATCTAAAGAATCTTGACTGGTTTTTTTCAGTTATGAATTGTGTATCACAATGGGTATGCAAACCAATGTCAGTCACGTCTGAAATCTTCTACATCTGAGTATGATAATATGACAAATAACTCCTATGTATATGAATGGATTATATTGGGAGGTTTTCAAATATTTAATGTCTTGTTTGTTCTTTGCATTTTGCAAATAAAGATGTTAAAAGCACGTTTCTACCGGACGACTGCCATGCATAAGAATTCGACCTCTATAGACTAAAACCCCTGTCTTGGAATAGTGTTTAGTTTGACACTGTATGGGTGAGTGTGGTGGGTTTGACGCCGCCTTGAACAATATTTCAGATACATCACGGAGTGTCAGTTTGATGTGGGAAAAAGCGAAGTGATGCAGGTCTTAGGACGATTACCATTTTGGTGAAACCCACGAGCACGGTTATGGTGTTGACAAACCTAGAAACCTAATAATGGCGAATCTGGGATTCGAAACTTCGATTATAGCGTTCTGACAAGCCCAAGGGACGCAACTATGCGCAGCGTATTCAGGCTCCTAAAAAGGCAGAAATAGCTATAACTAAACAATCGACGCATTGCGATAGCTACAACTATAAAACGACGCCCGGGTAGCTACAATTGAAATTCGACGACCAAAATATCGACGTTTCAAGATTCAGCAGATACTGGACTGGGACACCCTACGACTAAGATCGACGTCTTGGGGATGACTAAAACCGAAACATCGACGTTATATTCAGAACCTAAACCTAAAAGAAATGAAGCCTCGGTCCCATATCAGTTGAATCATGATCAGAACCACAGAATATACGCCCTTCCAAGTGTTTGTGTGTTTGTGTCCTTCAATGCTTCACTCATCGATGTTTTTATGCATCTTCCCATTGCACGTCTACATGCTCAACTGTGCTGTATCACTCACGATGGGCGTTCCGGGCACTTTGTGGCAGTTTTATGGTGTCCTTTCAACTCTCGGGCTTGCATTGGCAACTAGGCACTGTTATTACGCAGGTGGTAAACGTGCATTTTGCACGCACATATTATATTTCGGATAAAACTATGATTAATGTAAAGAAAGGTTTGTACTGTATATTTTTACATCTTATAAACCCCGTGTCTACAAATTAATGTATAGAAAATTAAATTTCGGTTATTTAAATTTTGTTCAAGTCAATTTGAAAGCATCAGCAACTTTGTAAAACTTCACGAAATTGCGGTATAAAGATTCATGGTTTTCGATATACGGATCAGGTACATGCGTTGTTTCCGTATTTGTAAAAACGGTAGCATGCGTAAATCTGTTAACAAATTTAATTCATTTCTCGAAAATAGACTCCGGAACGCTTACTTTCTCTGTAAAGTAAATATTAGAGTTTGATCAAAAACTTACAAACTAAGGTCTTTAAGTGCAAAAGGCCAAATGTCACATGACCAAAATATCCTATCAACTAGAAAAAAATAGTATCATAAAAGATGTCAAAAGTCAGTATGATCGACAGGATCATATATGGCTTACTTGTATGGCTGATGTCATAAGCAATAGACACGAAGAATATAGGCCGAAAAAGTTACAAGCGCTACAATAAGTTTGACATATAGTATTCAAAGTTATAGACTTACGTTTCACGTCATATGTTCCAGCCTGGTTAAAACTCCACCTAGCGGACAAAATTACCAGTCATTTCAGTGATGAAAGGTGAGAGGGGTGCGCATTACTCGTGTCATACACTCGCATTGAGAGAACTCCTGACAGCGAAGACATGCCTCGAGGCGTACAGGTTTATGACAGCCCAACGTTGCGGCGATGTTACGAGTATTCCTAATTGATTGAAATTAATGCTAATATAGTTTCTTTGAATTTGAAAATAAAGTTTCTGCGAAGCTTACTGATTGGACAGGATTAGCCGGGAGAAATGTGTGACGTGATTTCACTGACGTGTGTATTTCGTCACAGCGTACCATGTCATTTGTCAACTGATGTGACGCCTTATATGTTTAAGTCCATTAAACTGAAATGTCTTAGAAATAAAAATGTCTAGGCTGTGTGGTCACTGGAGAGGGTAATCACTGGCCATTTGTCTAACTAACAGCACTATCACCACAACATAGGCCAACCATGTAGATAGGCCCGTGTCAAGCACATACCTATGGCCTGAAATGTGAAGGTCCTACATTAAAGAATGTGGTTGTCAGGAGTTGGGTCCCCGAGACTGCCAACCACGACAGGATCCTGACACTGTCTGGATTAATTATACCACGGGAATTACATGTTGTACAGTTAACATCTACATGGAAATCTGAAAAATGTTTTGCAGAAGAATAATATATGAAAAGATATATCTCCTCACTTAAATGATATCTTTACTGAAGATATATTTTCTGAAACTGTTCTATTGGTATTCCTGGAAGAAGTCCCATTCGCTGTCTGGGCTGCGTGTGGAGGGGGAAGGGCCCTGAGCTGATGATGAGCCTAACCAGCCTGACTGTGCCAGGATCACCCAAACCTCTTTGATGCAGTTATTTATTTATATATATATGTAATAATAACAACAATAACATTAATAATAATAACAATAATAAGTTATCTACATAAGAATGCAAATCGTCATTTAAAGAAATTCAGAGTGGAAGTATTTTTGTTTTGAATTTACTTTCAAAGGCAAAATGGAGAGAAGTTCACGACATTTTTATTTCACAAAAATCGCTTTAAATTATGAAGATTCTGGGATCGGGGATTAAACTTGTCATCCCATGCAATAATCGGTTGAAGAGCCGTCTCAGTTGTCTGGAGTGATGTCCCTTATAGGGAAATCAAAATGGCTGCCAAGGAAGAAGCACTAACAGATTGTTTCTGCCTTGGAACGAGTTAGCGACCACGTTCGGGAATGTTTTTTGGTCAGATTTGACAGGTTTGATTGCCACTCGAAAGAGACCACCATCGACGTTTCTCATGACTGCCACTTTCAAATTTAAACTGAGTATACAGAGTTTATCAAAATCGAAAATTTTAAAATAAACTATTAATAACGGAGTCTGATTTGTGTTAATGATAACATAAATCTTGATAACACAGCACAACAAGGAGCGCTAAACTAGTGTATAAACACAAACCCATAGGTGTAATAAATTGGTCGCAGCTTCGTATTCGAGGACATTAAAATCATTACATGTTTAATTAAAAGTCGTTATCAAAGACATTCAGACAGTGAAAGTCTATGTCGGAACTGGGTTAACACGGGAGTTAGATTTGGCACGACAAAGTCCGTGAAACGAGTCATGTGTTCGAAAGCTGATATTGAAGAATTGCTAAATAACTGAGTCTGAGCATGTGTCAGTACCAAACATCACTTACAGTGTTCTTAATGCTCCTTCTTTATCCTAAAAAATACAACGGAGACCGATACTAGTGTCAGCAATGTCAAACACTGTTCATCACTGATAATTTTGTTTTCAAAAGTTGTTTGATCGGGGTTGTAGCATTCATAGCGTTTTATGGTGGTCAAAAGTATTATTTGGAGCATCAGTGAACAGTGATATCCAATGCAATTTCCTATTTAAACTTGTACCATATGTTCCCGTGTTTTTTAAGGTGAACACTTGATTTGCCTTTGCATGTGTTTGTCACGAGTGCCACCTTAGGGCAGAATACGCTTTCCGTTTCGTGAACACCTGGTGTCAACATTATTTGTTTGTGATGCATGAACTCATACTTACTTCGGAATCGTACAACGGTAAGGGCTTTGTCGCGTTTACTTAACTAGTGAGCATCTGCCTTACAGGTAGCACGTGTTGTGAGTGCGTTACAACTGGCCATGGCACATCGTGTGAGTGACGGGTGCTGCCGGTTGAGCAGGACATGCCTTTCCTTTTCACGAACACATGGTGTCATCACTGATATCCATTCATATAATTTTCATCACTATTTTGGCTTTTACACAATGGAATCTGTTTCGTAAGATACTTGAGACTGATTATACTCAGGCGTTGATTTTTATATATTTGTTATTTGTATTCATTAAAGTTTAAATTAAGAAAACTACTCCAGAGGTTTGCAGGTAATGCACATATGATCACATTCTCAGTGCAAGGCTTCTGTGTAATTCAAGCCCAGAGTGAAATTCAGGCGCTCATCTGTATACATGACAGGAAGCGAGGACCGGTCACGATTATTAAATGTGATGTGATGAAGTATACCGTTATACGTGACGTCATGATGCTAAATATAGACCGTGATTAATATGAACCATGATGTTATAATCTTTCAAAAGCCTCACATAAGAACTATCATGACAACATGCCTAAAAATAAGTCAAAGTGCGAGATCCTGTGACACTGACTTGAAGTGTCATTTAACTTCAATCGCATGTCACGAACTTTTCTTCAGTGTCTAATACAGGTTTAACTCGGTATATCTACCACACAATGGTTTATGCTAATTTGGGATGAAGATTACGCAACTATTTCCTGGGCCTTAATGAAATATACGGAGAAAATAATCAAAATTAAAATTTTTAAAACTAAAACGGAGAAAAAAATTCAAAATTAATTTTTTTTAAAACTAAAACAGAGATTAAATTAAAACCATCAGTCAAGAGACCAAGTGCATGTTCATACCAGACAACATTACGACGAAATAATTGTAACACGCGTTCCACTTTCCATCCTTGTATGATAATTAAACAACAATCAATTACCCCTTCCCGGAAACCCTGAGGTACAGATGATGATCTTGCCGCATGGTTTACCGCGTGTCACTGATCACACGCAAAATGAAGTCAGTGGATTTGTACCTCACGGGGATAACATAGTTATACATCACTGAAAATAGTGGTTTTTTTAATGTCTGATGCCTTAATGACCATACTACCTTAACGGGTTTTTTTGGGAAATATTAAACACGATAATTAGTTTTTCATTCAACTGTATCAGATTTGATTTGTTTGTTTCTTTTTCATGAACTTCCTGATGAACATGTTAAGTTAAATTTTCTGCTCCCAGTTATTGATCCTTTCGAAATAATCCATAAACCAAAACATATACATAATTCGAAATCCTATTTCATCAGCTTGCTGGTAAGACCTATTTCGTGTGCCACTGTGTCTTCACTTCTCGTTTTAAAAGCATGTCTGGACAAAATTAAAGGACTCGTATTTTGTCACAATAGTTTTTATGACATTACTCCTCTGAAGATAAGAATAAACTTTTCACATGTTTGACCTTTTCCCAGTTCGATGTTAAGTGGTCACTCACTCCTCTACGCGATAAACCTACATATTGCATATTTAAGTTATCTAATCCTGTAGATTTAACCAAAGGCTACATCATACTGGGTCTCCGATCAATCACTGTGCCAGCTGCTTCCGCCTCTGAGCAGCCACCATGTAGGAAGTGGGTGAGGCACCGGGGTCAGCAAAGATGACGGCAGGTAGAAAATATAATTGGATCGTCTCAAATGTCTTTAGTAATTTTACAAAAGGCTATTTTGTAAATAGCCTACACTTTGCATAATTACAAATATATACGATTGTGTTCTTCATATTGCATGTACTTGAATATGTAGAATTAAAACATATTCTTGTTGTATTTATACTCAATATATCTGTAACATAAGTACAAAACGAAATTGAAAGACACAAATGGTGCTACACGAGATTTAAAATTTGACACAAGAATATCTTTTAAGAATACGGAAGCGATGTTAAAATTCAGTTTCAGTTTCCTGTGATTTCGGTTTTGCGACAACATATGAAGGTTGGCGGGAGCATTATTCACACTTCAAATACAATTTGAATCCATGTTAAGGAATCGAACCCGGTTCAACGCGACCGGCGAACGCATTAACCAGTAGGCTACCCAACGCCATCAAAGAGAAAAGCATAAGCAATGATTGTTTAAATAAAGTATACTGTCGTAATGTTTGTGTCTTGCACTGATTCTGAAAGTGTGAATCAAAAACCTTTCAGGAAGCATAACATCACACAAACCAAATATGATTGCCTTTCGTGGACCACAAAATATAAACTATGTATTACTAAATGATTGTCATGTTTAATATGAACGTGTAGCAATGTAAATGCTGAAAGTGCTTCATGTACCCATCCCTTTACGAATAAGCCGACCACGAAATTAAATGTATGTACTCAAACATTTGCCATTAACGACCTTACATGTGAAAATCCAGAAACATACACTCAATGTTTATGTGAATAAGATGTAGATATGTAAACATGTGAATAAGATGTAAAATATGTAAACATGTGAATAAGATGTAAAATATGTAAACATGTGAATAAAATGGATAATATGTATACATGTGTATAAGAAGTATAAAATATTATGTATACATGTGTATAAGAAGTAAAAAATAATATGTATACGTGTGTATAAGAAGTAAAAAATAATATGTATACGTGTGTATAAGAAGTATAAAATAATATGTATACATGTGTATAAGACGTATACACGGTTACATACATACATACATACATACATACATACATACATACATACATACATATATATATATATATAATATATAAAAATTCACTGTTGTACAGTAGCACATATGGAAATATGGAAAGAAATTCACAAAATAATTATACGGCACGAAGTGTTCTCCTTCATGTTTCAGCTTTATCTTCAGGGATATAAACACATGTCTACATGTCTAAAACTAAGTATACATGAGTATAGTATGAGATGTATAATTTGAATGTGTATATATATGTTTAAGATGTATGATTTGTCTCAAGACGTGTTTGCATGTGTCAAGTATGAAACTTACCTTGATCTTGGCCTGGCGACACCTCCCTCGTCTGACCAGATATAATGTCCTTGAAACCAGGAATTGAAAGGGTGGACTCTTAGGGACTCTTTACTTTTAAACCCCAAACACCCTACCTGTATTGGGCCTTCTCACGTGAGAGACTGCAAGGTGCGCCTAATGTATTCGATACGATCCCTTTTCCCTTGGGGTCATAACTAATTAGCGATCACGTGACTAACGAACGTGTCACATATTATCATCTTTCAATAGAAGTACATTCAATATAAGATCAATTAAGAATATAAGAATTTAATTGACGTGATTGGGAATCTGGGAAGTTTGTTGAGAAGGAGTTTGATTCGTGGATAGTCGTTTAAATGAACTAGTTTTACTGGTAACGTGGATAGTCGTGGATAGTAATTTATAATGAACTAGTTTTGCAGTTAACGTCTTTTGAAGAAGAAAGAAAGTTTGATTCGTGGGTTGTCGTATCTTTAATTCATTAATAGAGATGTATTATGAGAGAGTGAGTTTGATTTTACGCCGCTTTTCGCAATATTCCCGCAACATCACGGCGGGGGACACCAGAAATGTGCTTCACACATTGTACCCATGTCGGGATTCGAACCCGGGTCCTCGGCGTGACGAGCGAACGCTTTAACCACTGGGCTACCCGACCGCCCAGATTTAGTATGAACTATGGCTACTGTTTAAATCGTTTCGAGAACAAACGGGAGTTTAAATCGATTGATTTACATTCATGATAAAATATGATTACTGATAACGCCCTTTGAAGATGAAACTGAATGTTTCGTCCTTTGATAGAGTTTATGATCATACGTCCTTGAAGATGAAGCAATTTTGATTCACTGATAGACATTAATAATGAAATAGTTTGACAGATTACTTCATTTGGAAAAGAAACCTGATGTTTGATCAATACTTTGATTATAAATAGACATTTGTCCAGGATATGGGGTCACTTATTACTCCCTTTGAGAGGGGCGGTCGGGTAGCCTAGTGGTTAAAGCGTTCGCTCGTCACGGCGAAGACCCGGGTTCGATTCTGGACATGGGTACAATGTGAGAAGCCTATTTCTGGTGTCCCCCGCCGTGATATTGCAGGAATATTGCTAAAAGCGGCGTAAAACCATACTCACTCACTCACTACTCCCTTTGTGGTATGACCAGTGTGATTTGTGATGGACGTGTATAATAAAATAGATTTACTGTTATCTGGCTTAAAGAAGAATCATGATGTTTGATCCATTGATTGACTTTTATAATCATGGTATTACGTCGTTTGAAGACGAAATGTGGTGTTTGATCCATTTATATACTTTATAATCATGATGTTAAGTCGTTTGAAGAATAAATAGAATGGTTGATCCTTTGATTGACTTTTATAATGAAATAGATTACTGCATGCATATCGTTTGGAGAAGATACAGAAGTTTGATCCATCTATAGGCGTTTGTATTGAAATGCTTGTTACTGTTTACACTTAGTCATGATATGGCTGAAATATTGCCGATGTGACTATAAACCTTAACTCACTACTGTTTACACTGTTTAAAAGGCCATGTAATTTTAATGCTTTCCCTCTTCTAACGTAGCATCTAACTTCAGCATGTCGAAAGTACAGTGATGAAATGTGAGTTATTCTTTACTTGTAGATCATCGCATGTGTCAGGCGTAACATGTTTCTGCCCAGGTACTATGAACATTCCAGACAGATACTACCTTATGCAAAGGAAATTAGATGAAATCGAAAAAAATGATTGAATATCAGAAATATTTTATATTCTCTTCCGGAGTTCACATGTATGGATTGCACAAGACGTCGGTGAGGATAAACAATTCTTATTTAATGATTAACAGTTGAATATTCCACGATTAACAGATATGTACACTCAGATTTGGTATGATGCAATTACAAATTATAACTTTAAGTCTCATCACAGTGTGGTGAAAATATCTCCCTTTGAACCAGACTTGAGCCTTGAGGATCGAACCCAATGAAGAGTTTATAGATCAAGAAAATGTTTGATATGGATACTGGTACTGTCATACTGGAAGCATTTAAGGACCAACCATGTAATATTCGGGGGTGGAGGATTGATGGTGTTTTGTTTTATTATGTTATGTTTATCGATACGCATAACACGATAAAAACATAACACCATCAATATACATTATGGTAAAGTCGGAATCGTACAACGGGCATTGGTTTCAGCAGATACGCCTAATGGTAATGGAAATGATTTTGTCGTCTTTATTTATCTGATTTGGGTCTGATAGAAAGATATAAATGTGTCCTCACTGCACACCCATCTTTAAACGATGTGTGTTTTTCTAACAGTAAATGGTAAAGTGCTAACGTGATGTGTTGCTTTTCAGAAATACTCCTGGTGAACTTGCATCGGTAGTCTGGCGGGTTTCCATGTCATGAGCGATTAACCTCAGGCCAATTGACAGCCCTGCTTGATTCAAGGCGGTTGAAAGCACCTGCTAGCTGAAATCACATTATGTCTATCAATTATTATGTAAGAGTTAATGATCACTCTAATTACCGTAATTAAACAGAGAAAGTGTCTCAGTGTCACACAATTACTAATTACTTCGTCTGGACCTTGGCTGACTCGAACACCGGAACGTGGAGTTAGTTCCTGCTTCGTGTGTCATTGATGTATAGACACCGGGATGTGGACGAATGATCAGAACAGAACTGAACTCAAGTCTTTGAAAGGCTTTTAGATGTGATACACACAAGGAAGAGAATTTATGGATGTGAACTTCTTTATTATGAGGAACACAGCGTTTCGGAGTATATACTTACTCCTTTATCAGGTGAATGAATTCCATGAGGCAGAGAGCATATATATATGTATTTAATGACAACAAAAATTAATTAGATAACAAAAGGTGGAAACTAACAAGGGAAGCCAACAGATAATGATAACGTTAACTGAACTCTATTTCACTTCGACGGCGATCAGCGGTATAAGAGATACACGGATTTAATTCATATACAAATAGTATTCACCAACGCACAGATGGATATGTACAATATGTAAACATATATTAAATATGGTTTTCGGGAAGATGCAGATGTAAGCAGTAAAACGCACTAAGTATTCATAGGTTGGGTAGGATATATAATTACTTAGTACATATAATATTAGAGCGGACACATTTTAGAGCTTTCTTATCATTACGATGTTAGCCGTGCTGAAGATGTTACACCTTTTAGACATACGTGTAGTTTTATAATCGTCGGGTGAGAGATATTTTCTGTTTAAAAAGCTGGACAAGATAAAGGAAGTCGTCTCCAGTGTCGTTTGTGACTGATTCGTCGGGGTGTCAATTTCTTGCATTGTCAGATTTGGTTGCTGCCTTGGAGTAGCCGATCACTCACTTTTGTTTCTGGTATCATCAATAGTAGATGGTGATTTTTAAGCAAATGATTTAGTCAAAATCGTATAATTGATTCTGCTTTCAGTAGACATTTCTTGTGATTGTGGAAATGGTTTTGTCGCTTTAAATTAGGCGTGTGTGTGTGTGAATGTGTTTGTGTGTGTGCGTGCGTGCGTGCGTGCGTGCGTGAGTGTGTGAGAGATAGCACGAGGGCATTAATATCTGCTTTTGCGCGACATATCTGGTCTTCAATGTAATTATATGTAACAAAACCAATTCAAAATAATGTGTCTGAAAGGGATGGTGTTCAAGTCAAACTGGTGCAATAAATAAATAAATAAATAAATAAATAAATAAATAAATAAATAAATAAATAAATAAATAAATAAATAAATAAATAAATAAATAAATAAATAAATAAATAAATAAATAAATAAATAAATAAATAAATTTCGTCAGTGTGGTTGATGCTTAATTGAACAATTGAATAAACTATCATGATGCTTAAGTATAGCAAATGATAAAAATGTAAAACAATAAATCAAACAAATAACATTCAGACTATATTTACAGCCAATCCTAAACACAGTGTAATGCTACAATACGATTAAAGACGATCCCAACAATAAATCACACCAGTAAATGTCCCCTTGCACCATTACCTGTGGTGGAGAGGAGATTAAATAGGAATGAGTGGTCAGGCTCGTTGACTTGATTGATTGCGCGTCACCGACGGCGTGGGACGTTGTTCATGATATCGAGCTCATCAAATGTTATACAACATCATTGCACTCATTATTTCCATAATTACCGATGACTTAACCTATACGTGTATAAATCAGGTGACAAGTCTACCTGCGCGTGTGGGAAATGAGTACTTTCATCCAGTGCATGTTTGGTATGTGCTAACCTGTTTGAACCTCCAAGTTGACTGCTCAAACCACCCGGAGGGATTCAGCCCGGGCTTATATGTCGCAGTAGGTCGGTCACCTGTTAAGCTAACACCTACATCGTGACCTGGCCAGCATCCTGTGGCCTCTCTAGGTGAAGTCATTGATCTAATTGGAACATGAACATTATAACGCTTTGTATGTCAGGTATCAGGTACTAAACAAACGACATGGCGACCTTTCAGACGGATCAGTTGAGCCTACTTGACTTTTTGATAATCTATGCGTGTTTTAAATATGGACTCTGATAGATTTATAGGTTTCTTATATTGTAAAATGGTTGTGTCGCTTATATGCATATACTGTAAAGGCAAGACGATTTCCCTGTTTAATGCAATGTACACACACACATATATACACGCACACGCACGCAAACACACCCAAAACACAAACACATACATTAAAAAATTAAGTTTTCATATATGTACACTCGAATTACATATACCTTTGTGTTTTTCAATTATGTAATATATGCATATATACAGCAAAAAAAAACATATTTTCAGTCAACAATGCGACAATATATATATATATTGTCGCATTGTTGACATTGTACAATATATATATATATATATATGTATGTGTGTGTGTGTGTGTGTGTGTGTGTGTGTGTGTGTGTGTGTGTGTGTGTGTGTGTGTGTGTGTGTGTGTGAGTGTGTGTGTGTGTGTGAGTGTAAAAATCCCTCTATTGTTTACTAAATATATTTAGTCCGCAAAAGTCATGTAGAATTCGACATGATTTTTGTGTTTTAAATTTAATATTGTAAAACATGATATAACATATGCTATGTTTGAAATGTTTGAAA